TTTACGCGATGCTTATAGTTCTCAAGGTGGGTAGAACTGAGTTTTCATTATTCACTATTTCCTTCGCTGAATTATAACAGTCAAACTTCGAATTCAAATAATTTTACAGTTGTCTGTTTACTAACTAGTATCAGTTTAAAATGTTCTGGGTTTTTCCCAATTTAAGTGGATGTTTGTCATCCAGTGATCAAAACTTCACTTATGACACGAAATCTGTATTTTCTTTATCATGGCTAGAAATAATGGTCACGCACGCGCATTGGATGCTTGGACTTTGAAAATATTTTGTAAAAATATGGCCGCCGTCACTGTTATGTTTTGTATGGGAGTTACCGAAAAAATCGCCCTAGCTCCTAACCTATCGCTAAAATTCAAAATGTTCAATCTGTTTTAGCTTGTACTTGTCAAAACCTAATTTTGAAGATATATTTTAGAATATCTGGACTTAACCGCGATTCGGTATCGCAATAATTATATGTGAAGCATTTTAGTTAGGAATTGTATTGTGAAATAAATTTCATTTTCAGATGAAATATTGAACATATGCCAAATGTTCAATCTGATTTGGCTTGGCAAAACATTGCATTTCTAAGCCCAATTTAGACCAAACCAGCAGATTTATTCCTCGTTTGGTATAGCCATGTATTATAGGTGCATTTTCACGTATTTTAGCCTTTGAAACATGACGCCGCACACAAAAGTTGACCAAAATAACAGCAATAAGTTGGTACTTCTTCGAAATATACCTCCATTTTGTATGCTCTAAAAAAGCCTCTGCAGAAAGAAGAAGAGCTTTGTATCCATGCCTTCTACCCAGTTTCTAGGCAACAAAATATTATATAATATAATATTTTGTTGCCTAGAAATTCGTAAACATTGTCGGTAAGACTTCAGATGTGGGTAAAAGTGGGCATATACTTTTTCGCGCAAAGGTCAGATGGGTCAATCGAGCAAAACAGATAAACACAGAACTTTCGGATGTCTAGCGTTTCTGTTTGCCCCGACCAGCTAAAAATTCTTATCTACGGGGTTAACCATCCAACAAATAATCGTGAGCGGTTAAAAAACGTTATAAGTCTGACTGGTGGAAAGCAAGACACTTATGAACGCTATTATACTTAAGCTCCGCCCCCTAGTGTCCACAATTTCTCGCCATGTTTGACATGTACATCCTGTGGCTCTTGAGGCACTATTGCGTACCTATAAATACAGAGCAAGATTCAGGGACACTCAGACATCCTACAACCGAAACCTGTATTTGAAAGCCAGCTAAAGTTGGACAAGAACTTGGAAGGAAATTTCAAGATGATGTTCAAAGTACTTCTCATACTCGCCGCTGTATGCGCAAGCAGTAATGGCCAAAGTAAGCTGTACTACTTTATGTGAACTCTATATATATCACATGATTTGCACATTTTTATTCACCGCAAAAATTCACAATATAGCTTCTTGTTCATGAGCAGGGGCAGACTGACTGTAGCTTTTCGATCTCGGCCAAGCAGAAAATCCGCGTCCATTTGTATATGAATGTAAATATATGCAGTATTTAGTATTAAAAACACAGTAGACCTATCGTTGAGATACGTCTATTTTGTTCGATTTATGGCAGGCCTCTCTCCCAGAAATTTTACTGACAGTAGACCTAGCGCGCACACGTCTGTTTGACTACTATATATAATTAGTTTAGAAAATTTATAATAAAAATAGAGCTCATGCAGTTCTTTAGAACTCATGGCAAACTTATCAATAGCCTGCAGTATGTTTTTATTTTTCTTTGGCGTGCATGCAGGAAGCAATAATCATTAAGTTATTCATGATATTTCTGCGTTAGCGAGGATCTCAGCCTTGTCTTAACTTACTTCAGTTTCGAGAACTATAGTCTTTCACACGAGCATGCATGCATTGTTTCATCAATAAAATTTTTTTTTGTGGGAGAAAATTTCCTAAGACACGCCTCCAAGTCGATATTTTCGCGACGATTTGTTTCGCCGACAAATTGTTGGCCGGACTATATAGCTTACAATCGGATGGGACAAGAGTCTTCAAATTGTAAAGTTTTTTTTTATTTGTTTAGTATGAAGCATAACGAATTTTTTCTTTATATACAGATCATATTCCGTGCCCGTGTGGTTGGGAGAAAATCATCAACAGATGTTACCTGTTTGTGAACAAAACGGTCACTTGGGACACAGCTCGCGCAGATTGTCTAAAACGTGGCGGAGATCTAGTCATTCCTACCAGTAACAAAGAATGCGATCTTCTCAGTCAGCGTGCTAAAAGCCTTGGAATGAATATTCCGTGGATTGGTGCCCAGAGGTACATGATCTCAATTATATATAGCGT